AATCTAACTGTATATATTTTGATAGAGATAAAGAAAAGTTGTTAAACTTAAAAAAATAAATATAACAGGATAGCATTCATAATAATAGTTTAATTAAATAATTTATGTGTTATTTTATTTGTTCAAATTTCGAATAATTTTAAACTCGTCTTTTTTTAATACATAAAAAATCCAAAATCATTGTAAATATGTACGTTCAGGGGCTGAACAAAGTTAGCTGCGCTAATAGAAGCTGAAATTAATGTTACCAAGCGAAAGCGTCGTTTTAATCCGATTTCAGGTGTGTGGACTTTTGTTAATGCAGATGGCCAACTAATTTCCAACGATGATTTAAACGTCGGCGAGACGAATAATTTATCACAAACATAGCGTTAAATGTTTCTGGAAATTTCAAAATAGATGTCGCTATTATTAAATTAATTACAGTTCGCTCGTTTAATTCCGTTATAACGAAATAACTGTGATTTTCTCTTAGTATTTTCAAACATTTATACTGAAAATGTTAAACTCTGTAATTTTTTCTATAATGATTTTTGAATCTGCCAATCTGTAATACATTAAACCTTAATATGAAAGTGCTAAGGTTGAAATTACATTACGTGAAAGGTGCATGTTTCAATGGGTTGAAAATTCGACGATGACATGTTGGACACGGTAGGTCAGTCGGTTAGAGCGAAACGCTATGGATGTTTTCAATTTTTTATAATCGAAAATAGATTTTTTCCTTTTCTGTTGGATTTTGGGCGTGTTTTAAGGTGTTGTTCTAATGCACCCTTATATTATTCGAGAATGTATTTCTAATAATTATAGTTAGTATTTAACTAGGTGTAACGTTAACGAAATAGATTTGGCGCACTGTTAAAACATGGAATCCTCGTGCATTTACTCAAAGTTCAAACATACACAAACTGGACGCAAACACCGGCTAAAATTCTATGTAACACGTTCCACATCACAGAGCTTTGACCAAATTTATGATGAATGGGTAATTAGTATGCGAAATAATTCCATGATAAATATATGGCTACAGATTTTAGTGTGTTCATTGACTGAAGACACGTGTCAAACAGGCAGGGCATCAAAATTTTTAAAACTGTTTATCCAAATTTAGGCTTCTTAGAAGTAACAATAAAAACCATACGAATTTAAAGCTAAAATCTGTAAGTATTCTTCTTCTATACGCGAAATATATTAGTTAAACTTTATTCGCAAGTTATTTAACTAGGCCCGACGTTTCGGCCTGCTTGCAGCCAACCGTGTTGACGGTGAGACTCAATGTAGCTAAAATAAGTTTTACTATCACTTATCGCGTTTTAAGCCGTAAAAGTAAATTAAATCTGTACTACTCGCGTAAACTACAGACAGGACTTATTCTGTTTGCATTTTCTTGTTTTGAGGCAATAAACAATCTTTTATTTCTTTCTGCAAAATCTTGAAAAGCGAACATCACGCTGGCTTCGAAACAATAGAGTTTCGGTGTCAAATCATCGCTAGCCACAGAGAAACTGCTGCGGTGCATTCTCTAGTGGGCATAAAGCACCGACGAGAGAATCATTGATGCGGCAACAATCGCATTCGCTCTAGTAGCCCGAATGAGGGGCTATATCAATCGGCTGTGTGTTCAGGCGTCGTCGAAATCACGACACCAATGCTCATCAATAACACCACTTTGGATCATTGTTTTGGCAACTCACCAAACGGGCTTAGGTCGCGGCCACCTATTGACGCAGTGGGCCGCGTGATGCGTCATGCGTTATAATTTTTTTAATGATAGAGGACAGACAATCATTGGGTTCATTCGATGGTAGGTGAAAACCCCAGCCATATAATATATAAACAGGATGCGCGTTGTCCTATTTTGGTTTTTGATATTCGGAAATCCACAGACTGAAACCGAAACGCGATCAAACATAAAGGCTTTATCAATCTGCGTTGGTTCTTGACCCGGACGGAAGTCCTACCACCCATTTGATATTCTGATTTTCAAACGAGGTCCAACATGTTTTAGAAAAGTTGTAAATTAGATTAGATTAGAAAGACGTTGGATGCGGCAGTAATCGAACCCCCGACCCGTTGATTGTTAGCCATACGTTGCTACTACTACACTAACAAACCCCTCAAAAGTTTCGTAGTATCGTAAAGCTTACGCGACTGGTAAACATTATTATATTTTTTCAATTTATTTTCGATTTTTAAATTATATAGTGCCTTCATGTGCAATAACATGTAAAAAAATAATAAAGTTTTCAAAAATTACAAGGAGCACTTTACGGTTTAAAAGGAAATATATAAGTAAGTTATTTTGTAATAGTTGTTAGAACTAAATTATAGTGCTGTATACGAGTAAAACTGTACAGTACGCGTTTTAATCCTTTAAAAAGTAGCGACTTACGTACTCTCCCCAATAACGTTGGCGAAGCCATTGTACAAACAAATCTCTAGTAATTTCGGATACCTCTGTATATCGCTTTAGTCAAGTAAAAATTACCACCACCTGGATAGGATCTAATCATAAGAACGGTATCTCGTAACAACATATATGACGACGTTCATAGAAGACCACAGGCTTAGATGAACGATGTTTGCGCTGCACTTACATTCGGTCTCAATGAGAGATGTTGTATAGGGAAGGCATTCGCTCGTGTAAGATAAACTTGAGGTATGATATTTCAGTCGCTTGTAGACTCAAAATCACGCCTAGGTATGCTTTATCTAGATTCTAGACTATGGGCAAAGCTACGGTAGCTCCTTTTGTAAGGCGACAGGGGTTTAACGGTTTAAAACACGAAATATATTAGTTGAACTTATTTGAAAATTATTTTAACTACAGCCCGAAATTTGGGCTCCTGATATATTTCGCGCTTTAAACCGTTGAAGTGTTTCATTCAAATGTTTACTACTCGCGTAAACCACTGACAGTATATATAGTAATATTTTAAAGCTGAAGGGTTTGTTTGTTAAAACGTGCTAATCTCGGGACTACTGTTTCGAATTGATTTTATTTTTGTCTTGGTTGGAGCATTTATTGAGAAAGGCTATAAGCGGAAATAAAGGGAAATGTAAAAAAACGGGCAAAATATTCGTCTTTCAGGGTTTCTGTTGCGTGCGTTGCAATAACGGTTGAAGGTACCGAAAAAATAAGTACGAAAGAATTATTCCTCTTTAAAAAATCTAAATTATGCAAAAATTGACTCACAAGAGCCGTTTTAATTGTAATCAAAATACTTTATGACAAAGTAACGTTTAGCTGGTCAGCTAGTTCTTATCAACTTCCGATAGATCTTTCATAATACGGGGTAAGAGAATACTCCAGATTAACATGGATACTTTACACGGATTTAATGACTGAACCTAATATTTTTTATATGTTATTACATGATGGCACTATATAATTTGAAAACCGAAATAAATTGAAAAAATCTGACGATGAGGTGCAGGACTCGGTAGCTCAATTGGTAGAGCAACAGCACCTAGCAAGTTCTGCCTGAGTCATAATTTTTGTTTTTCTATTAAATTTTGATTTTAAAATCTATTTTTAAACTATTTTAAACCTATATTATCTCTATATCTGTTTCTTAGAAATAGAAGAAGAAGACATAGATTCGAATACTATACTTAAGATGCCAAAATACTTGCTTTGCATCAAATTTAAAGATAGTTACAACGTAGGTCGATGGCGCATTTCAATTAGATGTTAAACGGTTAGAATATTTCGTAAAATGTCTATCATTTACTGTTCTAAAAAGGTACAAGACATCGGTGAAACAAGAGAACTTATCACCCAACTTAATGAAACTGAAGGGTTTATCCTGAGCAAGTTTTAATCTTAACAGAATAAAGCTGCTTACTTCTGTATAAAAGACAATAAAAAAGCAACGAAGGGGACGCGAAGAATTGTTACAAATTAGTGAGTGCGAGAAATGTTTAAGTAAGGTTTATTTTTCCTGTCCACCTGTTGAGACTTGTTTAATTTTAATTAAACTATCCGAGAGACGAAATAGGCAACTCCTTTTGGATAATACTCGCTTTTATAAAATGCATTAAGTTTGCCGGGGAAACAAAAGAAAATAAAAATTAAAACGGACTTTTTCAGTCGCTGTTGGAGATTTAAAATTGCGCTTTGAAGTCGAAGTTTTATGTTTCGGATGATTTTAAATAAAATGTAGGTCGCGAATGATATCTTAAGGTGAATAAATGTTTTATTATTAATTAAATAAAGGTAAGCGTAACAAAACCTCTACGAATTGTGCGTTTTAATTCGAACCAGTAGTTTCCGAGACGTGCGCGTTAAACAAGCAAATTCTTCAGCTTTAAAAATTGATATGTATATAGATCAAAATATTCTGGGTACCCTTATAAATTGCTGAAATTCAATTCCGTGAATACTAGAATGTAAATTGTTCAAGCAATAACAATTGTTAACTTTAAGCATACAGTGCTATCAGTCAGAGCAATCTAAATGTGCTGTATGAGGTCATTCCAGCACAAATTGTGAAAATGACTTCCAGCTCACTTCGCTGGTGTTATATTGAGTTTTACGATTTTCAAGTTGTACGCAGTCTTATGAACTTTGTAATAAGACACGTATCAAGAAATGGTTGTAAATTTAAATGAATCACTTTTGACGGTTTGTAACGCAAAATATTCGTTAACTTATTTTGAATGTGAACTGAAAATGTGAACTAATCGAGTAAACTACAAACAATACTTAATCTTGAATGTAGCCGCTTTATTAAATACCAAAATATATACATATTTGTGTTTAATTGTATAGGAATAGTAACGAACACATCACGAGACAATTGAATTTACTAATCATACTATATATGTATGCTGTATTTTTATTATTTTCTATATTATATACAATTATTTATCTTCATTAAAGACGGCTATTTTTTTTATTTTGCGGTTGTGCGCTTTCAGAACTATGTACAACTGTTAATAATATTAAATAATAGTATATCTGAAGTATATTTGAGTATAAGTTATTCAGTACTTACGTTTCACATACAACGACGTAGGCTTAGAGAACTCGGTGCCGATTGAGTTTTCAGCTACGCACTCGTACTTTCCCTGGTCTTCCACTTCGCTCTTCACGATTTGTAAGGTGCCTGTAAACAGAAGCATTTATGAGTAACTGAAAATAGTATAAATCTGTGTTTAGGCGTAGGTGTTCTAATCAAGTTTAGAAAAAGACTTGGTTTCAACACCTAGCTCATACGTTAAAAATATAAAACTATTTTATTCACTCTAATGTTTAATTTTGTTATATGGCATACTTTAATCTAAAAGTTAAAATAAAATATACTTTATTCTATTTAAAATTTCAAAAATTATTTGGATTTTTTTCTTCATATTATTAGATTATTTAACGTTGCCACTAATTACATAACAATTGCGACCTTATATTTTTAAATAACACTTATATAATTGTAAATAAAAAATATAATATAGTTAGACTATATACCGCCTATTGTCCCCCAAATGTACACCTGAAAAAAGCCTGTTTTGATTTTACATACTAAGTCATTTCGACGCCTATTTTATAAGGTGTAGGTAACATAATAAAAAATGATAACTATAAAACGCAGTTATATTTATGTAAAAATTATATAATGAACGCATAATGAAATAAAAATTCGTCGCTTTCCTTTATAAGAATATCGCGTGATTCAGCCTTATCATTGTAAGGTAACGTAACTAGACGTTATTGTATTTCACCTAGATCTGAATAATGGAGCATCGCTTTCGTAATATCCCGCTAAAATAAACACTGAACAAATAGAACGTGATTTATGATAATACAAGATATTATGTCTGGTAACAGTATTTTTTATTTAATAACCATTCTTTGATATATTCAATATCAACGAGTAATTTTTTTAAATCCAAATTTGAAACTGTCATCTAGTTGTGAACGTCCGGTTTTCCAACGTTAGGGGGCAGACATGTGTAACTAAAATTAAACTTTATTATGAGACATTAACCCGGCGGGGATCAATCCCACTTCCCGTTTCAACCGTGCGAGTTCTAAAGAGATCTCGGGATGCTTCACATTGTGTCAGACGTTCTACTGTGGGGTTTTAGTCGGTTTAAATCCGAAAGGATTTTCCCAAGTAAAAAAAGGAACCCGGGACCCGATCACTAATCATTTATTGCAACCATAACACCAACAAGCCCGTCAAAGAAAAAAGACTTAAGAAGGAAAAAGAAAACTGAAATTTTATTGACATAATAACAGCGTCTACAATTCCTCAAGCAGCGTAAAGTGGAAAAACAGAATAACATTCGCAAACAAGACTCGCGACGAAGTATCAAATATCGATAAACGTTTAAAGAAGACTCGAAATATGAACCGACTCGTGTTCGAACAGTTTGAAACGAATCGTTCAAAGTGTTTCCAAACATAACATTTGCTACTCTCGATTTGGTATTCATTTATCGATGCGACGTACGTGTCCCCAAAACTCGATACAAACTCGAAAGTTTCCACGGAAAACTGTCAAAGAGAAAAAACTAGTAAACAATGTGAAGAGAGAAAACGTAATTACATCGAGTTCGCTGGTAGGGGTGGTACCGTGGAAGATTTTGGGAAGTCAAACAGAAAAATGAATTGACTATAAGAGTAAAAAGGGTCCAGAATGGACTTGAACGGGCCTAATACTATTCGAGTCACATTTGATTAAACTAATCGAAGATAGACGTGAAGTGAAAATTCATAAAATATGCCTTTAATTTTTGTAACGGATATAATTAAGAGGTTGAAAAAAACTGAAAATAAGTTAAAACGCTATAAATATATCGAAAATATAAAGATATCAAAGTAAAATTATTTATTGAAAACTGTAATTCTTTAAGTTTATTTAATTAAAATGGATAAAAATAGGCTTTTAACGATTTAAAACGCGAAATATTCGGTTCATTTCGGATGCTTTGCAGCCGTGTGATCGCGGTGGTAAGTGTTTTATTTATGTTTTTTAGCTTATATGTATACAACTGTTTGTTTATAAATACAATACAATATACAATTACACAAGTACTACGATAAATTTCCCTAATATAAATAATAAACAAGACTTGAAACCAGATTACCTACATCGAATAGTTTTACGATTTAACGCGATTAAAACTGTTGTTGGCAGCCCTACGCTCTCATTGTATTAATGTCTACGACAAACAGGACATTTCCGACACGTAGACTCTTTGAGTTCCTCTTTGTCCGGCTGTAAGTGTCGTCGGTACACGACACCTGCTCTAGGTATAGTGGACACTAAAATTCAATCGTAACTTTAAGGCCACTTGTGTCACGGAATTAGGTACTGATGGAGTGGCGACAGTAAATACGATAGTTTTCAATTCTATGAACGTAGTTGAATCTAGATGCGAATATGGAAGTTAAACTCAGCCGGTTGTAATTGGACTTGTGTGATTTTTAGATTAATGTAAGCTATATTGGATATAGCTATATATAGCGATCTGTGTATAATTAATAAAGTGAATAAATAAATAATAGTAAATATATTCTCTGTTATGTCCAAGTATAAATGAGACCTATTTTTAATAATAGAGGAGGGGAGACAAGCAAGGTAGGTGATATACCCCGGCTTATAGCATCTAAACAAAATGCGATATCGACCTATTTTGGCTTTGGATATGTCGTTTTTATTTTCATGAATGTGAAGTAGGTATTAGTTTTTTCAATTATAGATGAGGACAGACATGTATCGGGTTCGTCCTTTACATGATGGAAGGCCACATAATACATAAACACTGCGCTGTCGAACTATAATGGCTTCAGATATTCGAAAATCCACAGACTAAACCGAAACGCGAATAAACGTCTTTCTATCTGTGGAAATGTCAGAAAATATAACAAAATACAACGTAATTTATATTAGTACAATTAAATTCACAAGTATATATTTAGATGTGGATTTAAAGCTTTAGGTTTCCTTAAAAAGTATGGTATTACTTAAAATTACAACAGTGTAGAATAAAATCTAGCAAATCCCGTAAAACCAACGACAGCTGTTTTAACCCTCTTGGTGTCGCAAGAAAAATGGCGGCTAACCTCCCGGCACTTGGCTTAAACGCGTCCTGAGCAAAGCCGGCATAAATCACGACACGCAATAATCATTCGCGCCATTAATTAGACCGCTACTAGCTCATAAGTGTCTCCCTCACATCAGAGCACCCACTTAATCAACCATGTTCGGGTAAAGTAAACCATACCACCCGCGCGCGTCTAAGAGCTAGATTAAACGGGCCACGGTGATAAAGCTTCTTTGACCACTCAAGAAAGACCCCGGGTATTGCACAAAGTTAAGCTGAGTACTCACTGGCGACTCGAACTGAAACTTACTAAGGAAATGTTTGTAACACGCAAATACACAAAGGTGTTTCGCTGGCTTTATTTTTATTGTTAACGATGCAATTTTCTTTAATTATAGGGCAAGGTCTTCGGACATAATCAAGGACGAATTTATAAAATTGTATCTACAAAAGATAGCCATTATGTTTAGTTAGTTTCTAATATTTCTTGCATTAAAATTACATCTTAACAATCACTAAATATTAGCCTTATTTAAATTACTGAAATGTACATTTTCAGTTCATAAATGTGCTAAATATCACAAGAACTATGTAAATATCACTTTAAAATTTTCGTTCTCACTCATCACTTTCGCTTGCAGTATATTCGGTTGATAATCGCTAGTGTGTACCCGGCGTTCCTCGGTTCGGTTACGCAATTACGGGAGGGGTGGGGACGTTCTTAGCAGCTGGTCGCTATAACGGCGCTATGCCACGGCTATTCTCTCGGACGTTTATGAATAGCGCTTATTTTTCTTTTAATTACGCCCCCCCGCTGTCCGCTCTACACACTTTATTTGGACCACGCCGCGAAGTTAAGCCGGGTTTACACGGAATGGTAGGTTGCGGTTACAAGATCAAGAGTTTTTTTTTGGCGTTTGTCATTTTTATATTGAAATGTTTTTATAATTTTAAAAGACAGCTGTAATAATAAACTACAAAATTAAAACAAAATCATATTCTTATAAGTTACATATGAGGAGGGATACCACTCAGCTTTTGTTGTACCTGGAAGGACAACGCAGCTTTTCAGTGATACCCCACGCTTGACATTTGAAGAAGAACAGAAAATACATATACATTTAAACATCTGTATGTTTAAATGTATATGTATTTTCTGTATAGATAGATGATGATGATACATAGATGTTTTCTTTAACGCACAATATATATATACATGCCTACATGTAATACAATATATTTACCATCATAACCAACTGCTTACTTACTAAAAGCTAATCATTATTATTATATATATACCCCGTTCGCATTAAGGATACAAAGATAAACATTCCTTAAAACCAAACATAAATTAAAACTAATCATGCCACAAGATGTTCCGTTTAAAAGGGTTCCTCAAATAATAAACCTTGTGCCTTTTTAAAAGAAATTGCTCAACAAAGAGTGAACATCGCTGCAACAATAATAAGTGGAAAGGCTGTAAAGAAACCTTTTTCGTAAAAAGGATTCTTCTTTCTGCGAATACCTGAGCTGTTGATAATGGACCAGCCATGTATCTATGGCTTATCTTATATAAATTTTCAATAGGTATGTATATATATGTATATTTATGTATGTTTAGTACAAATTACAAAAAGTGAATCTTTTTAATTCTTATATACTGTCTATAGTGTATACTAATAGGAGACATTTCAATGAAAAATGTTCCACGATTCAAAACGCGAATTGCATTTCGAATAAATTATAACAAATTGTAAATAAGTTATCTCATATATTTTTTTGCTTGCGTTTTCAACCGTTAAAGGTGTTTTATTTATATTGATTTGTAATACTCTTCAAGTTGAATTATATTTTTGAACGGCTTAAGTAACAACTACGACAGCATGAATGTGAAATTAAAGAGAACCAGATTGAAGGCAGGATCCACTTAGTCAGGAATTTTTTTAGACATTTAACGTTACCATCTCCGCTACATCGTTTCTAAAGGCCCTTGTATATTATAGCTCTGCTCAAAATACATCCAAAACAAATGCCAATACATCCAATCTTATTTTAAAAA